TTGAGGTGTTGGAGCGTGTCCAGAGAAGGGCAACGAGGCTGGTGAGGGGTCTGGAGAACAAGTCTGATGAGGAGCGGCTGAGGGAGCTGGGGTTGTTTAGCCTGGAGAAAAGGAGGCTGAGGGGAGACCTCATCGCTCTCTACAACTCCCTGAAAGGAGGCTGTAGCGAGGTGGGGGTCGGTCTCTTCTCCCAAGGAACAAGCAATAGGACGAGAGGAAACGGCCTCAAGTTGCGCCAGGGGAGGTTTAGATTGGACATGAGGAAAAATGTCTTTACTGAAAGAGTGGTTAAACATCGGACCAGGCTGCCCAGGGAAGTGGTGGAGTCACCATCCCTGGAGGTATTTAAGAGACGTGTAGATGAGGCGCTTAGGGACATGGTTTAGTGGGCATGGTGGTGTTGGGTTGACGGTTGGACTCGATGATCTTAGAGGTCTTTTCCAACCTCAATGATTCTATGATTAAATCATCTGGTTTATCTTAAAGTAAAACTAAGGGCTCAGGCCAAACATTGTTTTAGTTAAGGAAGCTTAAAATGCCAACTCAACATTTCAACAGCCACCAACTATTTACATGATACCTTGTCACTTACGACAAAAAGAGCAAATTAGCTGAGTCCTCTTTCACCCAAGTTTAATTAACGTGTTTCATGTCATATTTCAAGGAAGCTGGACAGTTAACACAGCTCAGCCCTGTGGTGACTTTCTAAGCCACTGTAACTCCACTGTCTGTTCTTCAATGTGTGCTGACTTTGGCATCGTTCACATACTCGTTCCTCTCTTTTTGTTGTTTTTCCTAAACGATGACAAGGCTTCAATCTAGTCCTTTTTCATCTGCATTACTCACACTGATTTTCTTTCCACTCAGCAGGCTTTTACTCACTCCCAAGACAGCTCTGTCATTGCTGGCAGTTAGATTCATAAGCACTGGCCTGGTAATTCAGGTAAACTTTAAGTGACGACGTTGAAACTGTCTAGTTCTATCAGAAATCATATTTTGAGAGATAGTCTGAAACATGCAACACAAATACTGATGGTCATATCTCTCTATTAACACATATTAATTAATCAATACTGCCGTGAGCCTGTGAAGTACAAGTCATTACTCCCATTATATTTATGGAGAACCCAACAGAGATATACTTGCATTGGCTACAGAAGGACTTAGCTTTAGATAAGTGACTAATTCTTGTGAGACCAAAATCAAGAGTCTTGTGTTCACACCATGCCTCAAATTCCTCTCAAGTACTAACTTTTATCCAACCGTGGATAAAAATTAGGTAGGTGAAATGGTAACTGCAGCCAGTTGCCTACTTTGCTCTTCTGACAGAGGATGCTGCCCCATGGTAGGAGTAACCAAGTTACTCTCTAACCATGGTAGTTTTAAGACTGTTCAATTTTAATCTTATTCAGTATTTTTTTTTTTTCTTTTAAAAAGACTCTGTTTTCTTCCTTCTCCTTCTGCAACATGATGCCCACTTATCCTTTTTAAAAGACATCTATGGTTTAATCTGGAAACTTTATACCTAAATGGGTCATCTTGGCCCATTTCCTCTAATTTAATACTCTCTAATCCCCTCCAAATAGGTTCACCCCAGCTTTCACTCAGTCAAAAATTATTCACCTCTACTTATATTGCGTTCTCGGTGACCATATAAACTGCACATATACTGGAATAAATCAAAAAAGCTGCTACTTCTCTGATGGAGGGTGGCAGCTGATTAACAGGGCACATCAATGTGCCACAACAATTCCAGAAAGCAACAAGAACAACGCGATACCCAACTAAAAGTGCACGGGGGCAGAACATGACTGAAATCTAGCTAAAGCACAGGAAATTAAAACTCTATAATTCACAGTTTGGAAATTTATGTTAAAAGTCTGAGTCAAAGTTAAAGCTAACAGACTGTCCTTGTGCTCACACAAAGCACAGAGGAGCTCCAAGATCACTCTGCAAACTCTGAATTACCAGTATAATAAAGATGCACAGGGCAGCGTGGCCTTACCTCCAGACTTCTTTCCTGCTGTGAACTAGATCTTTACAATTTCAAGTGGTGATTTTAATACTGAAATCCAACATATTTCCAGCTAAAAGAAAGAAGAGGAGGTGGCTCAGGGGACTGGGAACAAAGTAGGAAACTACTAGTTTTGTATAGAAGACTAAGCCACCAGCAATAGAAAATAACTAATTAATGGTTGTATCAAGAAGTCTTTTTGAAATACATTAGTAGTTTAGTTTCCAACACAAAAACCGTGGCAGTTGTCACTTTTTGCTGTGACTCCCTCTACGGAAGTCTGTGACTGCACTGCCACTTGCACTATGAATGTCCATAGACTAGATGAATAACCTTCATCCTTGAAATAATCCATCTGGGAAAATTTGACTGCATTCACAGCAGCCCAGTTTCTTGCTACCTGTTCTGTAGACAGGATTTCTCTTTCCAGCTCAGTCTGACAGAAGGTACAATCAGAAGTCAAGAGGTCAAAGTATCTCAAGAATCTGATTGCCAGTGGACAAGCATTTGGCCATGCCTATAAAAGAGGTATGGGAAACAGTGATATGGGACTGGCCAGTGAGAGAGATGGATGACAGCACAGTACAGGTCAAGCCTTTCCTTTCAGCCTGACAAGCTTCAAACTTTGAATTCATTTGCTTATTTATTGAAGAAACAGCATGGATACCAATTACATTGAAGATTCATGACAGATATCATTTAAAAGAACAAACTAATAGGCTCAATTTCAAGGATGAGATTTAGACAACTTCAATTCGTACTGGGATTCAAGACACAGCAGTTGTTGCTTGGACCAACACATCCAGTTCTAATGTTAGGTCAGGTGCCCTAGGTTTTCTGCCTTTGCTATATAATACTACGTTAATGGTGTACTCATCCCCTTTCACCAAGTCTGTAGTGGTGCTAAACTCTCTGGCACAGCTCTGGTATCCCTCTAGCATCTTGAGTAGATGTATGGAGATACACCTCTTTTAACACTACCTTTTCTCTGATCAAGGCTGAGTTTCTAAGAACTGCATGATTTTCCTTCTCTTTCAGTGACAGAAAAGTAGAAGTAGAAATAACATATCAGCCAGACCAAATGAGGAATTAGATGCTACTGTTCCCTGGTTTAAATGTCTAGCAAATACCAAACCAGTGGAACTCTCCAATTTGGCCAACTGCTGACAACCATTGTAACCATTTCTCTGTTCTTTTTAGACAAATTAACAGAAAGAAACCACCAAACAACTCAATTTTTGTGGTTTTTTTTAGCTTGTACTTACACTACTGGAAAAGTTCTGAGCATACTTTACATGGGGATGGGACGTTATAAAGCCTCTTGAGGGTCTTCAGTGTTATTCACCATTCTGTAAGACACAATTAAAATATACAAAAACGTTAGAGATTTCTGAAAGGCAAATACATTCTGACTTATTGTTATCTGGCATACAATTATACAGCCGGCTTACAGAGGGCGACCTTACGGCACTTTCACAAGGCAGCAGTGCCAAATCACTTCTGGTTAAAAAAAAAAAAATAAAGACAGGTCCCTTCAGGATCCTTCTCAACCACCCAATCCAGTCCTCTGCTAAAAGGCAGTAGAATGTATACCAATCACTAAATATAACCATGGTTAAGAAAAATGCTCCCTGGAACCACTGAATGTTCTTATATCATCTTTCAATTTTTATTTTTTAAATTATCGTTAAAGCCTCACCCTCTTTTTTTACCTCCCTTTGCCTTCAACGGGAGCTTTGACGTGGTTTGCAACAGACCCACGGTCTTAAAGTCTGGTAAATAATCTTTTACATCCAAACAGCCTATGAATTATAACGACTCAAGTTATAAATGGATACTTTACAGATCTAAACAAGGCCAACCAGCTGAGTATTCTGAGCTTGTGCACACCCATAGGTTAAAAACTGGAAATGGTCAATCACATCACTCTGGATAATCTGTAATTAATCCAGACCCATATATAATCATAGACATATACTTCAATGCACACGGTAGATTCTTAAAGAGAAAGTTGATGTCTGGTATTGTAATCAGTCCAGAGACAAAAATTTAAATTACAATTGATTTCTTTTGGCCACAAGTAAATTCAACTATGCAATCATTTAGCCTTATGACAGTTACCTACCCTTTTAACTCACAAAAGCTATTAAAAGGATTATTTGGCTAACATCCGCAAAGAGCTTAGAAGACAGGTACTATGTTCTGAAAAGGAATGACCTAATAGAATTTTCTTTAGCTATCACTGCTGATGTCTTTCTCCACAAACTAACATGGACTGAAAGTGCTTCGAAAGTCAAACTATTAACCAATGGGAAAGAGAAAGGCAGGGTATTATATCCAGGCAGATGCAGAAAGAACTAGAGAGAATATTTACACTTCAGGCTATGGGCGTATGTGAGCTGGAATAGAAAACAAGTGGGTAGAGTAGCACAGGGATTTGCAGGGGATGATTTACCCTGCTCCATGAAGAGTTGTCTGTAATAGCAGCAACCAAGCCTTGCGGACGGACACATCTTGGCTCTTCTCAGTGGTTAAGAGTGGTCCAGACGCTACAGCATGACTCTTCCTCTATCACACCTGCTGTAGGCTTTGGGGAAGAACTGCACCTAGTCCAGACGGAGTCTGCTGGACATACACTGACTATACCATCGTTTATGTGGCTTTTTCCCTTTTTTCCTTCGTGAAAAAACTTAGGAACTCTCAGGGCAAAAGGCTGGGCTGAATGAGCTTTTCCAGGGGTTCTGGCCACCAACTCTCCCAGGGGTTTTAAGCCTGCCCCCACATGATTGCTCCCACCCAGATGTGCCAAAGGAAAGCGCTGGGTGTTTTCGGGGAGGGAGCTGCTGAGAGCTGGCTGCTGCCATTTCCAGAAGAATTCATCTGGCCCACATCTAGGTCTTGAGTTGCCTTCTTCCTCTCCAGGAAAGGAGGTCGCCAAGAGCAAGGTCACAGACAAGATGAGTGGTCCCAGCAGACCACAGGTCATGTACTGTGGCCTGGGAGAGAAATCGTGACACTGAAGTGCTAGTGGATGGAAAAGACAAACACACGGGTCCCTTGCAGTCAGCCACCCCAAACCTTTTAAAGATAGTTCTACACCAAAACACTTCTCTCTTCAATCTCTTAACTGCATTTAAAACATTTTCCCTGAAGCAGTCACAAAAAAAAATGAGATCATGCTGTTGACTTATTGCCAAATTTTGAGTTTAATACAGAGAGCTGTTTTGTTTTCCAAAGAGGAACAAATTAGACTTAAATATATACAAACTTTCTGAAGGTCAGAGAGGAGAACTGGATTCCTCAGAGAAAGATTTGCTTCCAGGGTGAGGAGCGTGGAAGAAGCAAAGAACAAAACCCACAAAGGAAAGATCACCTTCCATCATCATGAAACACAGTATTAAAACTGGAACATGAGAAGATGAGATAGAGAGCCAAAGAAAAGGCTGCAGTAACTCAGGTGTGAGATGACAAAGGCAGGACAATGATATTAGTGATACTAATGGAAAAGAAAAAAATGATACAGACCTCAGATGTTATAAATGAAGAGCCATTAGGACCTAGCCCAAATTTGGGATGTGAACAGAGGAGGAAGAAGGAACTTTTCCAAGAGACTCCAAATCTGTGAGCGCAGACAGAGTATGACAGCATTTCAGCAGAAATAAACAGGAGAGAGTTCATGAGAAAATAGGAGGAATTCTCAATTTTTGCTATGTTAAAGGTTGAGGCAGCACTGTTACGGTCTGAATGCAATCGCAAACTGTCACAGACAGAACCAAGCGGTAAGGCAGGTTGAGGAATCCTCAGGTCTGCCTTGGTAGCTGGACTTGTGAAAGCAAATGCAGTTACACAGAAAGGAGAGGAAGCTAGTGCTTCCTACGTCTGATGCCAGAACAGAACGGCTGCTATTGAAAAGGGTTACAAATAGTCTTTGACTCAACGTTGGTCTAAAGTTCAGCAGCACAGAAATACCTTCCCCCCCCGTAAAGTTGCTTAAATGTTTTTGTAATTTAAGGGCCTATCAGATGGGAAACAAGCAACCCCTTGCCTATAATTTTAGCCAAAAAAGTTCAGCCCCGAACAACGTAACTTCAGCCACCACAAATCATGATTCTGAAATTGTCACCGAACATCGGGAATAAAACTCTTTAACACTGGGTGTATTAAAGAGCAGGCATTATTTTATTTGGCTGGGTGCATGGGGGATCTCTCCTAGCATGCACACCATATGTTGCATCAACCGTCTCTTATATGGCTCTTCGATATACATATTCATTATAATTTCTTGGAATAATCATACATATTTATTAGATTTCTCAGAACTAATTACAATATCTGCATAGTCTTTCACGCCTGCATTTTGAGTCCTTAGGAGCATCTACAGGTGTCTTAGGTGGTCTCTGATGGTCTTTGCAGGAGGTGAACTCTTCTTGAACCTTTGGGCCCTTCTCCTTACGTGGTCACAAATTGGCTCCTCACTGCTGTTTGCCACAGTTTTGGTTATCCTTGTCTGGTTTCTGCTAGTACTTATCTGTCTCACAATGTGCTCGATAACTTTGGCCTTGCATGTGATGTGCTCGTTAGCTTGATTAATCCAGCAGTTTATCTTACAACTATTTACAACAAAATCATGAGATATCCATATTTCCCTCAGTCTGCTTTTAGCATAAACCGAAGCAGCACACCAGGTTTGATCACAGCAGCGAAAGCAGGTGTCACCACAATCTATAGTTGATATGCAAGTAAGAACACACAAACCTTTGCCCTTTTCGCATTATTCATTAAATAAATTATCTGCTAATACAGGGAAAACAGTGCCAGCTCTCCCTTCCTACTTCTGGTACAGACAATAAAAAAATTTCAATATTAGTATGGAAATCATGGCCACAGTTGTAGAATCAGATGGAATGAACAATCTTGTCCCCAGCTTAAGTTGCTATAAAGGCAGCTTAAATTTACAATGGATGAGTCTTCATGGCAATCTGTTTTTCAGATATTAAAAATCTCATTTTCTCAGTACCAAGGACAAGTGGAAGTGTAAAGCACTGGAGTATCAACTCTGCATTTGTCTCACTTGACACGAAATCATTCTCATTTTAGTTCAGATTTTTAATACATTCTTGGGCTCCACTTCAGTTTTCTTCATTTCTCACTGTATGCAATTAAATGTTTTGAAGTATAGTTCACCCTGATCCACAACGTCTTGCAGAGGTAAAGAGGAAGTCACTTGGTAAGGATGAGGCTGATATCACTTATTTGGAAGAGAAATTCATTTTCCCTTTTAATTTCTGAGTGAGTCACATTGTAAAAAATAATGCCACCACTTTGTATTTCAGTAATACCTTCCTTGGTCAGTTCTTAAAAAGGGTTTTACAAATAACAATTTAAAAGCTTTTGTCCTTGGGAAAGAGAAACATCACCACTTTGTCAAAAGTAAAACATGAACAGAGGGACTAAATTCTTGGCTTAAAGCCACACAGGATAGTGTCAGTGGCTGAACATGGTATCTGCCTGAGGACATAGGCCCCACTACTACAATAGGACTATTACCAAACCAGCTATTGAAATGCAGAAGAGCCAAGTTTCAGCTTGCTGATAAACCTGGCGCACTGGATGATGAAGAAAACCTGCAAATTCAGCCCCAAGAATGAAGTTCTACCACTGCTGAATTTGCAATAAGGCCAGATCCCCAACCCCATGCATAATTACAAACCAGTCCTCTCCTAGAAGTAACAAAAAATTCCAAAATTTAAGTCTTTTACTTAATGTATAGCTTAATGTCTGTAGGAATCGCCAGGTCTTCTGCCTGGACTCTGTGTGTGTGTGTGTGCGCGCGCGCGTGCATGTGTCTGTGAACATGGGCTGTTACATTTCATCCACTTCACCTTCTCTACACTGAGGCCAGCATAAAGTAAAACAAACCTGTTACCTGGCTTAACTTATGCCCAGAAGACATCTTGCCTCAAAAACAGCAAGAGATCAAGGATCCATCCACTCTAATACATTCCAGTGGTTAATCACACCCTCCATTACAAATTTGTACTTGATTTCTACTTTGAATGTGTCTGGCTTCAGATTCCAGACAGCAGCTCCTGTTAAGCCTTCCTTTGCCAGCTTGGAGTCCTTTATTCTTGGGAGATGTTCAGACAGGCTGTTGTTTACCCAGTGCTTTTAAAACTCCAGGTACTGCATTGGTACCAAAACTTAAAGATAAATTCATCTGGGTGCACGCACAAAAGTAGGACTAATGTCCAAAATACTGAAGCTAATCTAGGACTCTCTAGCCCATTTTCCCAAAATAGGCCTATTAGAAAAAAAATAAAAATGCTCTGCCATATGACTTGAGGATATGTT